ACAAAGTAATTCTTATTTTCAAATATAATTGTACAAAGTTTCATTTAAATATTTTAGTTTTTTAAAAAAATAAATCAAAGCTAAAAAAGTGCAAAAACGCAGGCAAATTTGTCTGCGTTCTACTACAATCTAAGGGATATGAGTATAGACTTTTGTTGCCAAAATAATATCCTTCTCTTTGCTCTACTACCTCATATAATGTATGTTTTATAGCCATCTGAGATTCCATTCGCGAAATTAAAAAAAGGATTTAGTAAAGAATATAATAAGTATCATACTAATAACAGTAAAATAGTAACTAAGTATACCTTCGCGAAGATTCTCGGTCCTGTTTTTATTAAGGCCTATACACCACTAGCAATTTGCAACATCTACAGAACTACTGGCATATGGTCATTTAATCCTAGTGCTATTAGTGTTGATCGTTTAGACCCTTCTTTATTAACTGAACAATTTAATAAACCCACCAACCTACCTTTAATTTCACCATTACTTGCTCAATCAAATCATTTTCATTTTACTCACCTAAATGCTAATAATTTAAAGGAAGAACATATTACACTTAAAAATGAAAATAATTTGTTAAGATCTCAGGTTGAAAAACTAAGTGAGAAACTAGAAACTTATAAAAACCCTAAGACATGTGCATTATATTTAGCACTCAAGTATCTAGTTTCTCAAGCTCAAAATTCTTAAGCTCAAAATTCTCAAGTTACATCTAATCGTAAAAGATCTGAAGATCAGCCTGAGCTTATGTCGTCCCCGCCTAAAAAAAAGAAAAAAACACTTCCATTTGTGTGGCTTTTAACTGAAAAGGAAAGTTGATGTCAGTTAAATGAGTTGAATGAGGAAGCAAAATAAAAAGCTGAAGAAATAAAGCGAAAAAAAGAGGCAGTGGCTCAAAAAAAAAGAAGTAGGGTCCAAAGAAAAGAAGCGGCAGCCAAAAAAAAGAAGTGGTAGCCAAAAAAAAAGAGGCACTAGCTAAAAAAAAGGAAGCAGCCACTCAAAAAAAAGGCGATGCAATAACTAATTCTAACACTAAAAGAAAATAAAATTAAAAATATTTTTTTTTTTATAATTAAATTGAATTTGTTATAATATTGTTATAGAACAGTTTTATTTTATTAGTTTATTATTTTATCTTAATATTATTTTATTATTTTGATATTTGTATT